TATACCAGCAGATGGTGTTCTAGGCTAGTTAAAAAAATGATGATGCTCTACGCTAGTTTTTAAACAGCAGATAGCGCTCTACACTAGTTTTTAAACAGCAGATAGCGCTCTATACTAGTTTTTATACAGCAAATAGCGATCTACGCTAGTTTTCTACCAGCAGACAGCGCTCTAGGCTAGTTTAAACACACTAATGATGCTCTACACTAGTTTTAAACAGCAGATATCACTCTACTCTAGTTTTTAAACAGCAGATGGCGCTCTACGCTAGTTTATAACAGCAGACAGCGCTCTAGGCTATTTTTTAACAGATGTCAGTGCTCTAGACTAGTTTTTAAAAGCAGATGGCGCTCTAGGCTATTTTTTAACAGATGTCAGTGCTCTAGGCTAGTTTTTAACAGAAGTCAGTGCTCTAGGCTAGTTTTTAACAGCAGATGGCGCTCTAGGCTAGATTTTAATCAGCAGACATCGCTCTGGGCTAGTTTTTAACAGAAGTCAGTGCTCTAGGCTAGTTTTTAACAGCAGATGGCGCTCTAAGCTAGTTTTTAAACAGCAGACAGCGCTCTAGGCTAGTTTTCTAGGCTATTTTTAACAGTAGACGGTGCTCTACACTAGTTTTTAACAGCAGATGGGGCTCTCGGCTAGTTTTTAACAGAAGTCAGTGCTCTTAGCTAGTTTTAAATAGCAGACAGCGCTCTAGGCTAGTTTTCTAGGTTTGTTTTAACAGCATATGGTGTTCTAGGATAGTTTTTAACCATACACTCAAATGCTAAAAAGAAATGCTTGTTGTGCACAAACACCCTCAATATGAACACTCTTGTAATTCACTTACCTAAATATTTTCTAACTTTATTAATAATTTTAGGTAAAAGTGGTATTTGCAAGGAATTGGATGCAAGCAATGTAGTTAACCTGCTGTTAAATCTAAGCTCAGTATTAATTCAAGAGAATAGCGATATATATTGTAAATCTCAGAATTGAATTCTCAAACAATTTTTCAAGACAGCTCTATTACTAACTCTCAATGCTATGATCAATTTAGCGTGCTAACCTGGAGAACCAGATAGCCGAGGCTGAGGATCGTGGTGAGATGACTGTGAAGGAAGCTAAAGGTCGCATTAAGGACTTAGAAGAGGCTCTTCAGAGAGCCAAACAGGACATGGCCCGTCAGCTCCGCGAATACCAGGAGCTCATGAACGTCAAGTTGGCTTTGGATATCGAGATCGCCACCTATAGGAAGCTGCTGGAAGGCGAAGAAGACAGGTAAAAAACAGAGCCTTATAAGAAAATTCTGGCACTACGCAAGAGAACTTAAATGTTTGCATTAATAAATATTGACCGTCTCATTACTTTTAAAAACTTCACACAGAATTGGACAGCAGCCCATTGTGAACATCCAGGCCGTTCCCAACTACAGTAAGTCTAAACGACATTAAACATTAAACAATAGCCAGGGTATATGCACAAAACATCTGACTTCTACGTGACATTGTGCACATGTTAATGCAATAAAGGTAAATATTGACTATGGAATAGTATTTCCATTAGAACAGCTGAAGGGAAAATTATTTCCCAGTGAGGTTTTTTATTCTTTTTCAAATATTTCCCAAGTGATGTTTAATAGAGTAAGGAAATTTTCATCGCATTTCCTATTTTATTTTTCATTTGTTTTAGCTTGGCTGAAATAGAAGCAATTTTTATATTTAAAAAAATAATACAAATTAATGGTGAACATAGGCAGCTCCTCTCCATTAAACAGCACTTGGGAAATATTTGTAAAATATCACAGGTGGGCTAATAACTTTGACCTCAACTGTAGATAATTTTAAACATTTCCATCCACTTCCTTGTTAAAATTTCTCACAAAAAAAGTGCACAGTTAGTCTTTAAGCTTGCTTCACACCATTATTACTCAATATCATGATAGTAAAATGGGTCACATTTTATGTTGACAATGTTACCTTCATACATAATCTGAACATTGCTTCTATTTTTCGTCACAGACTCCAAGGGGATGAATGGTTTTCAGCAGAACAGCTCTCCATCACCTAAAATAGTTATCAAGACTACCGAAACCAGAAACAGCACCAGATTCAGCACTCACTGAAGTGTCAAGCATAATCAAAGGAATGTAATGCTATACTATACCTATAATAGTTTACTTTATGCAAGTATATATACACATACACAAGTAGCTTGTCTTTCTATGAATCAATGAAATTAATCTGTAATTAATTTCTTTTTCTTTTTGTGTTTTGAAAGATCATGGACCTTGTTCTTGATTCCTATTATATGCATATATATTATATTCAATTTAAATACTCAATGTTATATGTATATTCAATATGATTAAATTCAGTTTGATAAACTTGCACGTGGAAATTTTTTACACTTGCAACACAATATAATCTGACAAGCAAAATTACGATTTGTTATTTATTCATTCATTTTCATTACAGCTTAGTCCCTTTATTAATCCAGGGGCGCCACAGCTAAAAAT